GCAATGATGGTGCCAACTTGGGCCAGTGAAGCAAAGTCCTCCACAACTAGACTGAAAAACAAAACGACAGCAACTTGTCTGTTCCCCTTCCCCCAATTCCCCAATGCTGTTCTCAGCCCCCCAATTCACCAATAAAAATCTTTTAAAAAAAAAGAGTGCAAGCTCTAAGCAACAGGGCTGCCGTTTCGATTCCCACATGGGCCAGTGAGCTGCGCCCAAGCTGAGCTGTCGCTGAGCTGCCAACAGGTGGCAGGATGGCTTAGCTGGTGAGAGCACGTGCTCCTAACAACAAGGTTGCCGGTTCAACTCCCACATGGGATGGTGGGCTATAACTAAGTCCATAACTAAGATTGAACACGGCACCTTGAGTTGAGAGGCAGAGAGCTGTCGTCGGGCAGCCGGATGGTGACTGGACTTGGAGCTGAGCTAGCTGTGCCCTATACAACTAAGACTGAAGGACAACAACTTGGCTGTTCCCCTTCCCCAATTCCCCAATAAAATCTTAAAAAAAATATATATATATATATATACACACACACATATGTAATACACACACACACACACACACACACACGGTGCCAAAAAAAGGTATGCACGTTTAAGAAAGGAAAACTGTATTAAAATTGTAATACTCATTATACATCGATAACAAAAGATGAATACAAGTCACGTTTGACGTCTGCAATGACAAGAGGTGCTCAAAATGGTTCCCATCAGTGTCCAGACACTTCTGATGACGGCGAACTACTGCTTGAGCAACACTGACCAAAGTGTCCACTTGTATCCATTTTTTCAGCACCCCCGGTATATACATTTTAACAGATGTTATCTATTCTCAAGGCGGTGATTCTAAGTAAGCAACAGCTGGAAGTCTGTCCCCTTTGGCCCACATCTCCCTTCCCCTCACCCCCAAGGCCTGGCAACCACCATTCTAGTCTGTTTCTATGAGTTGGGCTTTTTTAGATTGCACATATAAGTGAGGCTATGCTGTATTTGTCCCTGACTTACCTCACTTAGCAAGGTCCATCCATGTTGTCCCAAAAGGCAGGACTTCCTTTTTTATGGCTGAGTAATAATCCACATCACATTTTCTTTACTCATCATTCTTCAGTGGACACTGAGGTTGTTTTCATGCTTTGGCTGTTATTTTTTAAAGCTATATATAGACATTTACAGAACATTGTAAAAAAAAATGTGCAGAGAGTTCTCTATAGCCTTCACCCAGTTCCCCCGGTGACAACGTCTTATACGTCTGGTTGGTCCAGAAACCAGGAAGTGGGCGTCAGCACAAAGAGCTCGTCAGTTTCACCTGTGTGTGTGTGTGCGGGGGGGGGGGGGGGGGGGGGGGGGGTTCTATGCAATTCTATGACGTGTGGATCTGTACAACCATCATCACCCGCAAGACAGAATTGCTCCATCACTATGAGGCTCCCTCCCGCACCTTCCCCCAACCCCAGCCCCTGGCATCTATAATCGGTTCTCGTTTCTCCATCTCTACAATGATGTGACTTCAAGAGCAGTCTATAAATGCAATCAGCCTCATTTTTTGCGATTGGCTGTTTTCACCCAGCGTGATTTCCCTGAGAACCATCTGAGCTCTGCACATATCAATACTTTGTTCCTTTTTAATGCTGTGTAGTATCCATGACATGGATGTAATAATGATTCAGTCTCTCCACTTGTGACAGGTCTAGTCAGGTGTTTTATTTCTTCTTGAGTCAGTTCTGGTAGCCTGTGTGTTTTTAGCAATTTGTCCATTTCCTCCAGGTTATCTAATTACCAGTGTCGGGAACAAAGTGGGGGGGCTATCACTATGTCACTAACGATACCAGGAGAAAGGGGTCAACTGGCCTGCTGAGAGATGGCTGTTACAGTAACCTTACAGTTCGCTACCGTGGTTGCCACTATTCCTGACGACCACCTGTTCCAATGGGCTCCCCTCCCTCAGCCAGGCCAGCCTTCTGGGTGGGGGGGCTCCTGGTCTCCAGACCCACCTGGCTCTCCTGGGAGGAAAGGGAAGTAGCCCCATAGGAAACTCCAGTCTTCCACTGTTCTCACTTCCTACTGGTGGCCTGTCATTTGTTTTTAAATAATAAGTGTTTCTCAAATGTTCTATGCTTTTGGTCAACTTCCAGAGTCCTGGAGTGACTGCTGTGAACAAGTTTGTCCAGTTTTATCATTGCTTTTGGGGGGAAGGTTTGGGGAGTTCCTTCATCGTCTCTTCCAGAAACCCCGCCCACATATGTAAATTTAAAATTCCTAGGAGCCCCATTGGAAAAGACAAAAAGGACCCGATGAAGTTAATTTTCCTAGTGCAAACCGCAACAGTGCGAATGCCGTGGTGCCACGGGCTCCCCGCCCGCAGCCCAGGGAGGAGCCGAGCCGAGGGCGCCCGGCGTCCCGTGTGGGAACCGGAGCGGAGCCCCGGCTCTAACTGGCCGCGCTCTGAGGCGCGCGGGGCTGCGCTTCACCCCTGATTGGAGGTGAGGAGGCTGAGAGGCCTGACCAAGCGGGCCCCGCGGCACAGACAGGGGGGCCGCCAGGGGCGCCACATCCGAGTCCTGACAGCCCTGTCTCCACCTACGACACCCGAAGCGCTGCTACTGGCAACGCCACACTTCCGTCACTTTGGAGAGTTCCAGGGGCCCCGGGCCCGGCCCGATCGCGCAGGGCGGAGGCGGAGGTCGGAGGCTGGGAACGGTGCCCAGGGGGAGGGGGGAGACTGAGGCAGGAGGCCCGTGACCCCCAGTCCGCGGGGCCCGTCGCGGTGCTCGCAGGGAGGAAAAACAATCCTGAGAGGAGAGACCCTGCTCGGGCAGCGGGCTCGGGCGGGACTCCGGAGCGGCCGAGCCGACCTCCAGCCGCAGCCGTCCGATCCCGCGCGCGGCGCCTGCATCGCGGGCGGGCCCCTCGGCGGCCGGGCGCGGTTTCCCGGGGACGCGTTTCCCGCCGCACCGCGGGCCGCCCGGACCTCCCTGGCGGACGTACCTTCCGGCGGCCCAGGCGCGGAGCCCTGGGCCCGGCTGCGGCCCGGCGGGGGCCCCGGAGTGGCGGTTCTGGACCCTGCGCGAGCCCGGAGCCCCGCTCGCCGCCGCGGGAGGACCCCGCCCGACGGGGGCCCAGGCTCGGGCCGACTCAGGTGGGTTTCCTGCGGGGTTTGGCCGTGGCGTTCGCGGCTCCCGGGCGCCGCCGCCGCCCGGCTCCTCCTTCACGCTGGACCAGCGAGCGGGTCGGTCGGCCAGACCCACTCTGCCCTGGCGTTTTGGGGACTCCGTTGGCACTTAGATGCTTTTGTGTCGTTTCACAACTTCCAGACATACCAGACGCACAGCTGGGCACTTAGTTACTAAAGCGACGACGCTGCCTAAGTTGCAAAACGAGGTGAGCGCTGGCTGAGAAAGCCCCGCTCCCTGGTGCCGGGTGGTGTCGGTCTGGGCCAGGCCTGTACGGAAGGTGGGCCCCTCCAGGTAGGCTGCCCTCGGAGAAGATGAGCCAGAGAACAGAGCTCTGCTTCTCGCACCTTCACTGGGAGGACGGAGGTGGGCAGGGTGGGGCTGTATCCTCGCATCACTGACACGGCACCGCACTGGCACGGACCCCCTGACACCCAGAGGAGGCCTGATGGGGAGGGCAGGCCTGGCCCTGCGGTGATGTGGCCACCGGGTGCGCCTGCCTTGGGCGGGGGTGGTGTTGGCTCCTGGACCTTGTGGTTGGAGCTGCTTTTCATGGTGGCCTGCTGTGGCCAGGCGATTACTTCGACGTTGTTTTCACTCTTGACACCAGTCCTGCCAGGCAAGCATCTTAATCCCGCGAACAAGTGAGGGCTTAAGGCTCGGAGATGTTGAGTGACTTGCTCAAGGTCTCCGCTGGAAGGGGATGGCACCAGGTTTCAGTTCTTGGCATGCACCAGCCTGTACCTGTCGTGTCCACGCTCGTGACTGCGGGGCAGCGCTGGACGGGCCTGGGGGGTGGGTAGTGCGCCCTGAGTTTGGTCCGCTGCTCACGTGGGCTCTCTGGCCGAGTCCTGGTCTTCTCCTCCCTGCAGTGTGGAGATGCCGAAGCTGGAAGGCTTTGAGTTCTGGAGCCGTACCCTGGGGGGGGCTCGGCACGTGGTGGCCCCCATGGTGGACCAGAGCGAGCTGGCCTGGAGGCTGCTGAGCCGCCGCCACGGGGCCCAGCTCTGCTACACCCCCATGCTGCATGCCCAGGTCTTCGTCCGTGATGCCAACTACCGGAAGGAGAACCTGTACTGTGAAGTGTGCCCCGAGGACCGGCCCCTCATTGTGCAGGTGGGCGGTGGCCCCGGCTCCCAGTGCCTTTCCAGAAACAGCTTCCTGATTGGAGGGGAGGAGGACAGATGGGCGGGCCATGAAAGCGCCAGGGGCACCTGCAGCTGTTTCCTGGGGAGCTAGCTCAGACTGTGGTGAATGGACAGCGTGGGTGCCAGGAAAGGTCCGTAGCCCTGTGACCACCCCGCTTGCTGTGTCCATTAGAAAGAAGGGCTGCTCTCTGGAAAGTCAGGGACATCGGCTTTCTGGCAGAATTGAGAGAAATTCTGTGAATCTGTAACGCGCCTTCCTGGTGGTGTGGGGACGTGTCCTAACTTAGTCGTTTGGGAAGCGTTTAGGACAGGACGCCATCCTGCAGTCAGCCCCCGGGACCACCCCTCACTATCCCAGGTGGGCAAGGGACTAGGGCCTGGCTGGGGCTTGTGATGACGGCCTGTCTGTTCCAGTTCTGTGCCAACGACCCAGAGGTGTTTGTCCAGGCAGCTCTCCTGGCTCAGGGCTACTGCGATGGCATCGACCTGAATCTGGGTTGCCCGCAAATGATCGCCAAGCGAGGTAAGTTGGGGCCCAGCAGCTACTTCAGGCTGGGGCCGGGGGACCGCAGGGCAGCCCTCCTCGTGGGGTGGGGGGGGCATGGGGACAGGGTCCTGCTGGCCCTCAGGCTCCTCACTTCCTCTGGTGCCTGGGAGGTCGTTGGGCTCCCTCTGGATAAATGTTTTGCTGGAAGGAAGTCCCTGTCACATCCTTGTGCTGCCGCAGCCCTAGTGGCTGCACCCCTTATGTGGAGCTCAGCTTTTCCTCTTCGCTGGGCCTGAGAAATGGCTGGTTGGGCAGAGGCCATGTGGGTGGGCCTTGCTTCAGCGCCCTTCAGTTCAGGCAGCTGGACAAACAGACTTCCCAAGTCTGGAGCCTAGAAACGGCCCTGCTGAGACACCCACTCCCGGGGAGCCCATGGGGGTGGTGCTCAGGAAGCCCCAGCCCAGGGATCTGGACGAGTGCGCAGCCCACGCAGGAGCTCATGACCTATGTGGATGTGCGAGGAGGAGGGTGCAGAGGGCCATGCTGTCCTTTGCAGGTCACTACGGAGCCTTCCTACAGGATGAGTGGGACCTGCTCCAGAGCATGAGTGAGTCAACCGCACGTGGGGTGATTGGGCGAACGACTGGACCGCGGCCAGCAGTCCTGTCCGTGGTGCTCTCCTTGCTGTAGAAGGGGGCAGTGGAGAGGCGTCTGTCCTGTGCCAGAGGGCAAGTGCCCTTGCCCAGCTCTGGCCCCTCCTATGTCATGGGGGACAAAGGCGGCTCTCTCAGTTGCCATCAAGTGGGGACCATCTGTGCTCCCTTGTGGGTTTAGCCATGGGTGCCCCCAGTCTGCCTGAGGGTGAAGGCCACAGTTCTCAGAAGCCAACTCTCCTTTCCCCAGTTCTGCTGGCCCACGAGAAACTGTCTGTCCCTGTTACGTGCAAAATCCGTGTCTTCCCAGAGATTGACAAGACCGTGAGGTATGCCCAGATGCTGGAGAAGGCTGGCTGCCAGGTGAGCAGGCTGTAGGCCGTTCCCCACCCTGTGCCTGGGGGGCCCTGACCCCAGGAACGACCCTTGAGCAGCTCACTCTCTGGGGGTGGGCAACAATCACAGTGAACTTGAGGCAATGCTTAATGAGGGAGGCAAGTGGGGGGTCGGGGGAGTGCCGGGTTGTGCCACCTTCCCCCCTCCCCCACCAGCCCTAGCGTCAGGTTGGCGCCTGTCCCTCCTCATCAGCTGGTCCCAAGTGCAGCACAGGGGACCTGGGTCTGGTGGGGGCAGAGACTGAGAGCCAAGCCCGGGGCAGCCTTTCCTCCACTGCACGGGAAGCTGATGCCCAGAAGCCAAAGGCGGGGGTCCTGTGGGGTGAACAAGGCACTCTGTCCTAGCTGCTGACAGTGCACGGGCGCACCAAGGAGCAGAAGGGGCCTCTGTCGGGCTCCGCGTCCTGGGAGCACATCAAAGCTGTGCGGTAAGAGGACATGGGGGGATGCATGGGGTGGGGGGGGGACTGGGTGCTGCCGCCTCCGGGCTGAGTGACATGCTGCCCCCAGCAGCAAGGCCGTGGCAATCCCTGTGTTCGCAAATGGGAACATCCAGTGTTTGCGGGATGTAGAGCGCTGCATCCAGATCACGGGGGTACAGGGCGTCATGAGTGCAGGTGAGGCTGCCAGCCACCCCTGCCCCTGCATGCTGCCTGAACGGGGCCAGCCTTGCCCTTATCCTTGTCCTGTGTGATGTGGGGTGGGGGCGGGGGCGTCCTGGCGACATGGGGGCCCACAGCCTTGAGCCCCTTCCCCCCGGCAGAGGGCAACCTACACAACCCCGCCCTGTTCGAGGGCCGCAGCCCTGCCGTGTGGGAGCTGGCCGAGGAGTACCTGGACATTGTGCGACAGCACCCTTGCCCCCTGTCCTACGTCCGGGCCCACCTCTTCAAGCTGTGGCACCACACGTGAGTTGCCCTGCCAGGCAGACGCCGTGGGTCTGAGCCCTACCTGGGGTGCTGGGGGTTTTAAGAGGGAGCTCTTTGGAAACGGTTTGCCACCAAGTCAGGTCTAGAAGGGCCGGAGTAACAGTGAAGTCAGGCAGTAAGCCTGGGTAGGAAGAGAGGCAGCGCCCTGTGCCCAGGGCTCAGGGTGGGCGGTGGGCCCGCCGTGACGGGGCGTCTGTCCCAGGCTGCAGGTGCACCAGCTGCTTCGAGAGGAGCTCGCCAAAGCCAAGACCCTGGAGGGTGTCACGGCCGTGAGCCGGGAGCTGAAGCTGCGGTGTCAGGCACGTGCAGGGCTGACGAGATGCCCAGCGGGTGGGAGGAGGCGTGGCTGCTGACGAGGGCCCCCTGGGCTTTTGCAGGAGGACATGTCCAGGCAGAAGGAGGGGGAGAAGCCCGCGGGCGGCCTGCCTTTCTTCCACTGGATCTGCCAGCCCTACTTCCGGCCAGGGTGAGCTCCCGCAGGCACTGAGCCAAGGGCCGTGACCCAGGAGGGGTGACACGAGGGTGGGGAGGGCACTGCCACGCAGCCCCATCCTGCCAGGTGCCCAGTGTGTCTCCCATCAGCGAGTGTTTAGGTTTTAAGTCTTCTACCTCTGGCCCTGGGTGGATTTGTCCTGGGGTCAGTCAAGAGGGTGACCCCTGGGTCCCCTCTGGGTTCTGAGGCAGGGCCAGGCTGTCATCTGTGGCCACAGCCCTGACTGGGGCTCAGTGGCTCAGATCCTGGAGTCCCAATGTCCTGGCCTTTATGCCAATCCAGCCCCAGCAGCCCAAAAGCTGAGCTGCTGGGTGTACCCCAGCTCTGCCCACTGCCCTTCCCTTTCAGGCCCAAGGAGGGGAGCAAGAACGGGGGTGCTTGCAGCAAGCGGGCCCTGGAGGAAGAAGAGGGCAACACGGACGTCTTGTCCAAGAATAAGCAGAAGAAGCAGCTGAGAAACCCTCACAAGACCTTCGACCCTTCGCTGAAGCGTAAGCCGTTCCTGCTGCTGGGCCCAGGGAGGGGGACACCCCAGATAGCTTTTAACAAGCTGCAGGGGAGGCCAGAAGGAAGGGCCCCGGACCCTCCCACACGTCCTGGAGAGGCCCGCGTGGGAGACGCAGAGAAGGGCATGAGCCTGTCAGGACCGGGCCACAGGGAGCTGGGACGCCTGCTAGCTTCGTATGGGAGACGTCAGTGGTGGGGGTGCACCTGTTCAACCAGGACCTCCTTGTGTTCTTTTCCCAGCAAAATACGCCAGGTGTGATCAGTGTGGGAACCCAAAGGTGAGTCAGCCCTGCCGCACTGCCCAGGGCCGGGTGGTTCCTGCTGACATTTAAGGAGTCCCTGGACTGCCTGGGACCTGCGGGAGCACCCTTCCGTGTCTACTGAGGGTGCGGCATGCGCTCCTCAGTGTCTGGCAGGGAGGCCCTGGCCTGGGGAACAGCCCCTCTGCGCTCCTGACAGGCCAGTTGGGCCAAGGGTTGTCCATGCAGGCTCACTGGCTTTCCTGTGTCCAGGGCAACAGATGTGTGTTCAACCTGTGCCGGGGCTGCTGCAAGAAGCGAGCTTTCAAAGAGACCGCGGACTGCCCAGGTGAGGGGTGCTTACTGCCCTCGGCCCCTCCCCCGGCCCCCGAGGGCAGGACAGCAGGATTTGGGCCTCCTGAGCCCCATCGTCGCCCCTACTTCCTCTGCCAGGTCATGGATTGCTTTTTAAAACCAAACTGGAGAAGTCTCTGGCCTGGAAGGAGGCCCAGCCCCACCTGCAGGACCCTCAGCAGGCAGGGCCGGGGGAACCTGGTGGCTTGCCTGAGGTCGTGGGCGGTGCGCTGGCCTGATGGGCCCCAGGACTGCTGCCGAAACGCCTTCACTCAGGGAGTCCCCTGCTGCTTCACATGGAAGGACCAGCTGACAGTCTGCCCCTCGCCTGCCCTCCTGCCCGCGCTGGGGGTCCAGAAATGCTGCACCGGCGAGCAGGCTCCCAGGCTGGACCTGCCCTGTCCTGGCAACTTGTATGTGTTCAAAAGTAAACAATAAATCACTTCAAAGATGCGTGTGCAGAGAACCAACCTGTGATGTCCCCAGGTCTGGCAAGACCTCTGACCACGAGCTGGGAGGGTGGAGTTGGGCCAGGCAGACAGGCAGAGAACCTTCTGCCTTGATCCTGTTATAGCCCGAGCCCTTCCTAGAGAAGCCTCAGCCCTGCAGAGGGAAGGCTGGGGCTTAGCTCCCTCCCCTCCACCCCTGCCTGGCCACTGAAACATGAGGCCAGAGAACCCGGGAACAAGGCCCGGGCCCTGCCCCAAAGCCAGGCCCCAGGAAGACAGAGCAGCGCCAGGGGTGTGTCCTCAGGTCGCCCTTTAATGGTCTAAGTAAGCTTCACGATAGTCTGCAACCCCAAAACACGCTAACAGGAAGGCTGGGAGGCAGTGCCGGTGGGCAGGACCCTGAGCGCCAGGGGTGAGCCCTACAGGCCTCTCCTTGCAGGAATGGCCTCAACTGGCAGGCAGCCCACCTCCCCGGGGGCCCAGCATGCAGCACAGCGCGGGGAGGACAAAGAAGCCCAGGCAGGGTCCAAGAGCTGGCGGCCAGTGGCTGGGCCCCTGCAAGTGGGCCACAGGTGGCACCTCCAGAAGTGCCCCGAGAGCAGGCAGGCCCAGGTGCTGGAGTCCGAGGGGGCAGGTGGGGCGGGGGGGTGTGCAGATGGCCCTGGAGGCCTCCGGGTGCCCTCACATGTTGGTGCTCATTCGGGACTGGCTGTTGGCTGGTGTCAGCTCCCCCTGGCTACCCTCTCGAGGAGGGGACTGTGGGTGGAGACACAACTGTTAGCCCAGGAGATGCCACTGCGCCTGGCCTGGCCCCTCCCTGCCCCAGCGCCGCCCCTGCCCTCACCTTGACGTGGATCTGGTTACGCAGCACAGCCGCCCGCAGGATCATGGCTTTGGCACGGCGCTGGAACTCCTTGCCCATGAGCAGGGACTTCTCGAAGGTGGTGCTGCGCTGGTCCACGTCCCGGGCATACAGGATCTGCTGAGGGAGGCGGGGTTCAGCGGGGCTGGAGCCTG